AAAGAACCTTCAATTTACTTGTCAATTTACTTCAACATACATTGATTCCAAAGTAAGGGCCACTGAAATATTTTTGAACTATACACAAGTTGTTTTATTTAATACAGTATAATATAAGAAAAGGCATACTGGAGGAAATGAATATACAAATAATTGTTAGTTGCACAACCATGATAATTGGAAACATTTTGGGAAAGAATCCAGACACAGGGAATTGGTAGCAAGGGAAATTAATTTGATACTAAGTTTTATATATGAATGTGATCTCATGAAAGGAGTCAAGACAGAAAAAGAGTGAGGCTTAGAAGACAAAAGGTTCCCATTGGAATTCATAATACACATAATGTATATGTTATTTTTATATTATCAGGTGTTGGAAAAAATAAATGGCTGATACATAAAAAAATGAAAAAATATGTTTTACATCATTCTACTGTGCTATTTTGTACATTTACTTTTCTGAGTTCATTGCTGTATGAGAATTAAATGAGACATAATGACATTGGTGCCATCAGTCATGATCTATATCTATGTGACCAAGGAACGAAAATGTATTCATACAGAAAGTACTGAAAAAAAAAAGACTTAAGTGAGTCTCAGATGTCGCTTAGAGGTGAAACATTTGCTAAGCATGCACAATCTCACAAAATATGACAAAAAGGTACTTGTATGCCTCACTGTGGTCAAGAAAAAGCCAGAAGACAGTGAACTCTAACCTCTCACACCTTGAGACTAAATAGATCCCTTCTTAAAAATGGTTCTCCCAGGAAGGTGTCACAGCAACGAAAGTCTGATTGACACAGATATATAGAGAGTTAATTCAGGTACTGGAAAGATTGCTTACCGGGTGAGCATGTACTGCAACTCTGGCTAAAGGTAGAGATATGTAAATGTCTTCTACACCTCAAACAGTTCTGACACTTGGCAAGCTAGGCTAGGAAAGCTCTAACCCTAAGCCTAAGAAGAAAAGGGGGGAGGGAGAGAGAGACAGGAAGGGAGGGGAAAGGGAGGGAGGGAGGGAGGGAGGGAGGGAGGGAGAGTCAACTGTAATAGTTTCTTAGTTTTTGTGTTTTTATCTGTATGTGCATATGTGCAAATGTGTGTCTGCATATTTGTGTACTTGGGTGCACATGTCAGAGAAGAACCTTGGGTTTCATCTGTGAGGTGACTTTTACTTTCCAATGGTGATGCAGTCCTTCATTGACCTAGAAATTCATTAAGTGGGCTATAATAGCTGGCCAGCAAGCTTCCAGGATCTGTCTCTACCTCCCATCTCCCCATCATTGAGATTACAGGTGCTTACCACTATATCCAAGTTTTTAAAATGGGTTCTTAGGTCATCATACTTGGAACCATGCAAGTTGTGGATAGAGCCATCTGCACAGCCCTAAAGTAGTTTCTTGTTGCTTCTCTGGTTAATTGCTAAGAAAAGAGAGCTTTCCTCATGCCTCCTTTTCTGTGGTTCAGTTACATGGCTTTTGTTCTGCGTTTGTCCCTCTTCTTCAATTCTTTAAAGTATCTTCTACTGAAATCCAGGGCAGAAGTTCTGAATCTCCTTCTTGTCTGAAACCATGGTTCTAACCTTTTTTAGTTGTACTCTTGGTCTGGAAAAAGAACATCCTCCTGTAATGTAAGATCTACAGAATGAATTCTGGACTCTCTCACTGCTCTATGCTACAGTTTTCCCATTTTTACTTTACTACTACAACCAGTACTTTCTACTGTTAACTACATACTAGGAGTGACTTTTCAATAATCCGTAGTGTATTGCCATGAATGTCAGTGTGCAGTGCCAGGTTGTCACGGACTGGCCCATCAGGAGTACCACGACCATAGGAAAGCCATGGCTTGGGTAGTCAGGAAGGCAAGGATTCGGTGAATGACAGACAGACAACAGTACCATGACCATAGGAGAGCCAGGGCTTGGGTAGTCAGGAAGGCAAGGATTCAGTGAATGACAGACAGACAACACACTCAGAAGTGGTTTGAATCTGTTGTAATTTTACTTTTGTAAATCAGTAGTTTATATACAGAAAAAGAAAACTATCAAGTTATATAAGGAACAATGAGAGCTTGGCAATAATTTAATCACATCATCTTTAAAAAAAAAAGCAAGCACACAGTTATTAATCGGCGCTAGACATATCCCTTCACTCACAAGAGCTTTATGACCCAAAAAGCAGTCTGTTTTTTAAACTTAGTACAGTCCCTAGACTTGTGTAGGCTTTTTTGTGGTTGTAGTTGTCGTTCCCTAGCTTATTATGTACTTTTACTTTTTTGGTTTTTATGACCCACTTAGCCAATTTGGATGTTGTAGATCCCCCTAAGTTTTTTTTTTTTATCACATATCTCTTTTAATATAAAACCTTGTTACCTTTTGGAATATGGACTCTTACACTTTTACACCTGTAAGGGGAAGAGGCTTTGTTGTAGTCATTAAGTTTTTTATGTTGAACTTTCTCAGCGGAGGGGCCCACCACCATCTGTCTCTTATGATATAATGTTTTTTGCTTTTTGCTTTTTTTTTTTTGTCAAAAATCACTTTAGTTGGGATTCCTAAAGTATTTCTAGTGGGTGAGTGTTTATTCCCTAGAAGTGCCTGAAACTTTATATTTTTTTATCTAGTGGCTTGGGGGTCTTAAAAATAACTCATTCTTATGTTTTTGGTTGTGAGCCTAGCCTTTAACGGCTGAGTTATCCCTCCAGCAAGTGAGCTCCAGGAAAGGCACAAAGCTATGCAGAGAAACCCTGTCTCGAAAAAAACAAAATAAATAAATAACTCATTCTGTTAAATTTAATTAAGATCCATGTCCAACTTTCCCTTTCCTCTATAGTTCACAACCCAAGCATTTATTAATTTTGATTGTGTTTCATAGATTAATTAGAACATTATCAGAAAAACAGTTATACAGAACCATAGCCCAGGGAGCTTATGATCCGTGAAGCACGTCTTCTCTGAGAAGGAAGTATAACGCAGGTACTCTGGCAGGGACCTCCAGGGAGCTTAGTCCTATGGGACACGTATCTCCCGTGTTTATGTCACATGGACAACACTGGAGTTGGTGTGGCACCAGGTGGCACAAAAGAAGGTATTTAGGAACACAGGAGTAGAAACATTCAAGGAAGAAGTTTTCAATCTTATTTTTAGTGGATAATGCCATTATGACATAACATAAGAGGTTATGTCAGTTTGTATAAAAAAACGAGGATGTATTTGTTGGCATTTCCATAAGACTTTGCTATTCTAGCTCGTAGTTTTATCCTTTGAGTTGTGTTTATTACTAAGGAATGCATGGATGTTTTCATGCATGTTTGGCTACTAAGATAGTTCCCAGATTTTAAGAGTCCTTTGCATTTCATTCAGTCATAGAAAAAAAAGCCTTAAATTGTGTTTGTTCACATTTGCAAGGCTTATTGTGAGTCATTTTATAACTCTGTCAACAACAACCTCCAAAAGCTTGTGATAAAATTATTGACCATAAACCCTTCTAAATCCACCAGAAGGTCATCTTTATGGTTGTAACAAAGATATATCAGCAGCAGCAATATTCTCTTACATAAAAAAAGAGGGCATTCATGTTAGTTACAATAGGGATCATTCAGGGAAGCAGGATGTGAGGAGGAAGAGTTTTATCAATTGATACATCATAGACCTAATGGGGCTTGGAGGATGTTTAATAATCATGCTCATCCTGAGAACTTATGCAATATTTGATTTTGTATTCAAAAAATATCAGATTTAACTACAAAAATAACTAACACATTTTAAAATAAGGAAAGGTCATCCAAAAACCACATTCACACCAATATTTATTGGAACACTAAGGGAAAAAGAGACTTATAATTCCCTTTACACCAGGAAACCTGAAGGCTTCACATTTGGTGGCAGTGAGTGAGTATGTGCTCTGGGATATCAAACCTGACTGATTTCAATTCACAATAGATATATCCATAAGTGAAGTTCATTCTATCTTAAAGACAACAAGTTTTAATGAAAGTTTCCCACCTTGATTCTATTGTATAGAATATATTTTATTAAAGTGTGTCTTTCTTCTTTTCTTCACCTTGGTGGCCTCAATATTAAGGAATTAAGAAAAAAACAACAGAAGAGAATATTCCAAACTGTGTTTGTTTCAGGGCAGAAAAGCAGGGCAGAGTGAGTAGCCTGTCTCTGGGCTCTGTCCCTTCTATGATAGAGGTAATGATTTAATTTTTTAAAATGTGTGACTTTACATCACTGTTCACAGAATAATACTTTAATAAGAATCTCTGTAGAAAGCAGCAAGGTGAGATTGAAAACAATGTACATTTTTATTACCAGTATTTGTGCTTCTGAAATCATGTTTTTTGTACATTCTAAAAACATCAATGTGATGTTTGTGGTATTATCAAAACAAATGAAACACCATCGAGCAATGGTGACAAAAGAAAGTCCTTCAGTTCTCACAAGTACTGGTTTATGAGAATGGTCACTGTCTTCCTCTCTAATCCCTGCCTTGTTTTCCTGTTATTGTTCTTCCCATCTTCACTCTACAGTTACATCGTAAATGCCTTGGATTAAGTTATCAGACAGTTCTGAAGGAAGAATCCAAATACTAATCTTCATCATTTAGGCCAACTAACAAAGAACTTCCTGTGAAGTTTTTGCACAGTGGCATAAATTTATTTAATTTTTGGTGAAAAGTGAAGGGATAAATGGGTGGCTATTATGAATAGTGGGGTCACTTACTTTTAATGACATCCATCTTGTCCTTTGATATGTATAAAGTTATTTCTAAGTGTCTTATTAGAAGATACAGCCAACTTTACGGAGTGCAATGTGTGAGCATAATTAACATTCAATAATCTGAGTTCACTCTAAGATATTTTCTACATCTTGCTAACAACTATTTCCCAGCAGGCTTAACATGTGGGGGTTACTGAGAACAATATACCTTGTTTATATGTTTGGAAGTATATTTTGCATATTCAAGCAAAAACCCAGGAATCCTGAAGCCAATATGAATGTTGTAAGTTATTATCATCATTAATGAACATAGTCTCAATGACTTTGTCACTATTAATTTTACTCATCATTTCCAAACTGTCATGCTTATTATAATCTGAAGGATCTGTTTACATAGGAATTGTTACCCTGTTCCATGAGGAATTTATACTCTAAGAATCATAGATATGTCCAGATGAGCAAATTAATGAAAGTCCATGTGTTTTCTCTTTTCCATTTAGAGTGAGATAATCTCCTTCTGGGGTTATGTATATGAAGAGTATGAAGTTGTGACTGAAGATGGTTACATCCTCCCACTTTACAGAATTCCACATGGGAAGAATGAGTCTAGTCATTTAGGTAAGCTCAGAGTGAGAAAAAAAACAAAACATTGCATTGTATTCAGTTAAATATGTTCTATGCAGAACCTTCCTATTCAATTACTTATAATAAGAACCCTCAGACCTCTGTGATGCAGATATCCAAAGCTGAGGTTCTAAATGACACCTGGCTTATGTTGGTTGACATGATAGCAAGGATAAACGCAAATTACTTCATGGGTTTAGCTTTCTGGACAGGGTAGAAGCTCAGAGACCTGATGGGAAAGGCCCAGAACTTTCAAGCACATTGACTCTGTAGAAAGCTTTAGTTCCTGCTGGGAGAATTCATGCTATTCCTGATGTATAGCACCCATGTCATGCATCCATCTAGAATTTCAGACTACAAAGGCCATGTTCAAGTTCAGAGTTTTGTTGATGTTTGGATTATTTGTTAAATTATCTACAGACGAGGCTTTCTATCTCAAACATTTGTATATATTTATTATATTTTGTTTTTCATGAGTTTGAACTCTACTAGATGGGAAAATTACTCATAAATTTTAGAAATTAAAAACTTCCAGTTAGCCGGGCCATGGTGGCACACGCCTTTAATCCCAGCACCCGGGAGGCAGAGGCAGGTGGATCTCTGTGAGTTCGAGGCCAGCCTGTTCTATAAAGCGAGTTCCAGGAAAGGCACAAAGCTACACAGAGAAACCCTGTCTCGAAAAACCAAAAAAAAAAAAAACAAAAAACAAAAAACTTCCAGTTAGAAAATTCATATTTATTCAACGGGTATAGAAACAAAAATGGAACCCAACAGGTGTGATGATTACTTTACTAAAGAATATAGAGATATGTTTATGACTTTAATGTAAGCATAATGGCCCACTAACACTTCTTTTGTGGATACCAGGATATAATGGTGACCCAAATTCATGTTATTAAACACTTTCCAGAATGGGAATAAGGGGTCAAAGAGGTGATCCTGGAGGATGTAAATTGGCTGAAATTACAATACTTGCATATAAAATGTAGCAATGAGTCTCATTATTTTGATGGGGCATAAAAATAATGATAAATAACAAAGATTTTCTCTCTTTGGTTTTTAGTTTCAAAGCCAGTAGTGTATTTGCAGCATGGGTGGACTCTATCTGCCTCTATTTGGCTTGTCAATCCCCCCAAGAGCAGCCTGGGCTTCTTTCTGGCTGATGCTGGTTTTGATGTGTGGATGGGGAACAGCAGAGGAAATATATATGCCAAGAAACATGTGTACCTAGACTCAAATTCTGAAGAATTCTGGGCTTTTAGGTAAAGAACATAAACCTTTATTTTTCCTTAAAACTGGGCTAAACCCTTTTATGTCATCTTAAATTTATTATGCTCTAATACAGGCATTTCATGAAAACATCTTCTTATGGAACAATACTTTAAAAGATTGATGGACAAAATTTGCTTAGAATTTTGTAATTTTGACTAGTAATTAAGAGGGAAGTAGATTGTATATTACATATACATGTATTTTACATGCAAAAACTCATGAATTAAACATATAGTACAAGTCAGGTCTAGAGTGAACGTGCCTTGAAATTTAGTCTGTCACTTAGCTGTCTATGACAACTCCTTTCAAAGTACACAAACATAAGATCCTATCAAGGTTTCTGTGGACATTGAATGAATGGACCATCTAGACAGCTAACAGTGAGTAAAAGATAGGAGGTATTTGATTAATGCAATTTCATTATTCAGATTTCTCTTTAGAGAAACTCCTCTAGTTCATTTTTTAATACATAAAGTGTAAGTTTTAATTATTAATAAACAACTAACTCATACTATGTTCTTTTTGTGTCATGCAGTTATGATGAACTCATAAAATATGATCTTCCTGCCACCATTGACTTCATTGTGAACAAAACAGGACAGAAGCAAATTTACTATGTTGGCCATTCCCAGGGCGCCCTTCTTGGTATGTGGAGAGATGGAGATCTGATTGTTTGTTATTTTTATTGTAAAAGCTCACAAAAAAATCTTCTGAAAATATATTTATATTTTGGAAATGACATTATCTCATTATTTAGAGATACTTAGACTAGCCAATGATCCTGTTATTAAATGGTTTTAGGTAAGAAACATCCAAGCTTCTTGTTGTTTAGTAGAGGGGTTTGGTGTGTAGCCCAGGATAACTTTAACCTCACAATCCTGCCTTAGCTTCCTGAGTGATGACATTACATGTTTGAGCCACAGGATCTGGCTAAGTTTTCAAATTAACAGCAGGCACAATTAATATATTTGCTTATCTACTTTTTTTTTTTTTTTTTATTTTCGAGACAGGGTTTCTCTGTGTAACTTTGCACCTTTCCTGGAGCTCACTTGGTAGCCCAGGCTGGCCTCGAACACACAGAGATCCGCCTGGCTCTGCCTCCCGAGTGCTGGGATTAAAGGCGTGCGCCACCACCGCCCGGCTGCTTATCTACTTTTTAAACATCATTCCAAACATGTAACACCTTTAAATAATGATTGTGTCACATATATTTGGGATTCTCTGCAACTGGAGTTTCTAAGACTAAGTATGCGTATTTGTTTCAATGTCCTTATACTGATATTTTAATAGGAAAATGATACGTAGGCACTGTTTGGGATTTTTTTTTTTTTAATTTGGGCTCTTTGAGCAAAGTCTGAGGGCCCAGTGAGCTTCCACAAAGCTTCACTCTCCTTATATTTTTTCTGGACATGTCTAAGGCATGTCAATTTTATACTAAAAATCCTATAAATAATAAATGCTTCCAAATCTGACTACCTGGAAAAACATTGCTAATTAAATTGCATATCATTTGTTTAAACATGTGGTGTCATTACTACTTGAAAGATAATTTGCTGTCTGTTACAATATATAGTGTACACTAAAGAAATCTGATTTTTCTAAACCTCAGAAATTAATGAGGGGGGCTATGTCAAGAACAATATAAATCCTCATACATTTAGGGTCATTTTTTTTTCTTGTGGGACCATCTTCCTAGGAGATTCATTGCAGGATGAATTATTCAAGTATCTACCAATTTGATCAGCTCATTCCCCTTTGCAATTATGCCAAGCAAAAAATATATGTGCAAATCACAAATGTTGCTGGAGCTCAAAAGCATTGTTAATAAAACAAACACCACGAAAGGCAGAATGACAATCACAGAAGTTTTATTTGATAGTCTTGTAGATAGTAAGTAGGAAAGCAGAGAGATGTGGTGCTGCCAATCTGTGGCCACAACAGAATAAATTTCTAGAGATCAGGAGAGATTTAAGAGCTCCAAATATGGTTGATTTCTTTAAAATCTTGAGACTTTTGTATCAATAGTCATTAAATATGATTATATACATGTGGACATACATACACACACACTCACACACACATGCAAATCAGGACATTGGAGTAAGGAGCACACAGAAAGCCATAGAGATTGTTAGGTGGCATGGAAGGGACATCTCCACTCTCATGGAAGACTGTAGGCCAAAAATATTAAGCTTAACCCAAACTTACAGGCACACTTTTGGAACAAAGATTACTTAAAGACCACAAGCAATTGTAAAAAGTGTGATGATTATGTGAAGACCCTTAATATATGCTAACTACTGTCAGGGTGACCAGAAGAGAAAAGAAATGTTTAAAAATGTGCACTGGCTACACAACACTTAGTAAACAGGATCCCAACAGTATAAGTGTGTTGGTTCGTTTTTTATCACCTTAATGCAAACCTAGACATATCCCAGAGGAGGGAACTTAATTAAAGTACTTCTCTGATGAGACTAATCTTCAAACGTGTCTGTTGTTCTTTTTCTTGATAGGTAATTGATGTAGAAGGGCTCATCCCACTATAGGAAGTGCCATTCCTTTGCAGTTGAGCCTGGGCTATTTGAGCAAGCCAAAGGAAGTAAGCCAGTAGGCAGCATCCCTCTGATATCTGCTTCAGTTCCTGCTTCCAGATCCCTGCCTTGAACACCTTCCCTAGCTTTTCTTGATAATGGTCCCAAATCTCCAAAAATGATAAACTCTTTCCCCTCCAAGTTAATGTTTTATCACAAAAACACAAGGCAAACTAGGAGAGGAAGAGAGCTTTATTAGTAAGTTCAGGAAAGGTTCATTTATCTAATTGTTGTTTATTAAAAATTCAGTAGGAGCTGGGTGGTGGCGGCACATGCCTTTAAGTCCAGCACTCAGGAGACAGAGGCAGGCAGATCTCTGAGTTCGAGGCCAGCCTGGGCTACAGAGTGAGTTCCAGGAACAGGCTCCAAAGCTACACAGAGAAACCCTATTTCAAAACAAAATGTACTAGGAGTCACCCAATGTCAAGCTCAGCACCCCAAACCATTCATTCAAAGAAATTGATGCAAGTAAAAGAAAGAAATTCAGTGGTGCACGCACAGGTGTTTTAGAGGGGAATTATCAGAGATAGCCTTGAAATATATGAGAAAGAACACACACTTAATTACGGTGGTGAACTAGCCAAATGACATAAGGAGTTTAAATCAAGGTATTAGAGTGATGGCTCAGTGGTTAAGAGCACAACCACTCACTCATCCAGAGGATCTAGGTTCGATTCTCAGTACCCATAATACATCACACAACTGTTTGTAACTCCCATGACAGGCGATCCTTCATTGTATTCTGGCCTTCTCAGGCACCAAGCACAAACCTGGTGCACAGACCTACACACAGGTGAAACATCCAAACACATAAAAATAAAATAAACATATGGAAGACTAGTAAATTAATTTCAATTTTATTTTCTTTCAGCCTTTGGAGCATTTTCAACCAATACACAACTGGCTCAGAAGATCAAAATCAATTTTTCACTGGGTCCAGTTGCAACTATTAAACATTCAAAAGGGGTCATCCGCTCAATTGCATTCTTGGAAAAAACTACGACCAAGGTTTGTAATACTACTAGCATGGTGCCAGAAACAGCAACACACTTAGAGTTTTCAAAACAAGGGAGTGCTGTTTTCACTGCTGTTTCCCTCATGGCCATAGTATAGTGTGGGTTTGAGTGTAGCATGTCTTGGTATGAGTTCTACTGTACTGTGTCTTGGTGTGGGATTGGTTGTAGCATGTCTTGGTGTTGAGTCTACAGTAATGTGTCTTGCTGTAGCTTTGGCTGCAGCATGTCTTGGTATGGCTTTTAATGTAATGTATCTTGGTGAGTCTGAAAAGACTATACTTAAAGTTTGCTCACCTTTTTGTATATAGGGGTGTTCATGGTTGACATCAAATTTGAAATTTTTCAGCCATCTTTTCTTCAAATGTCCTATCACACATCTTTTCACTCACCTCATCTACTTTCTAATCTTATGTGTGCTAACATGTTAAATGCTGTCTCATTATTCTCTGAGAGTAATAGAATTTCCCTTATTAGAAAGCTACAAATGTGTCAAATAATGACAAACTCTATAAACTGGTCTGGTTCAACCTTGACAGACAAGTCAGACTGAGAAATCCTTGATATTTGGTACTTCAGAGGGTTTGCTCTGACAAAATTGATCAGAATTGTTTTACGTGCCTACTGGTTTTGATGGACACTTTTCTTAACTTTGTGTAGAATTATGCTGCAGTGAAATAAATCATCTAAATGTTTATCAGCATCTTAAAATGCTGCTTTGTGGTTAGCATACATTCCTTCTATCCTCATTTTTTTATTGAATAAAATTCACTCTCCATGTGATAGCTGCTGTTTTAACATGTCATTTGCAGACCGTCTTCGGTGAAAAAGGCATACTTTTCAATGAAGATGCTGAGTATTTTGTGCAATTTTTCTGTCAGCGTGAGAAAATTGCAACAGTTTGTAATAATTTACTTACTTTGCTATTTGGATATAATCCCCAAAATTTAAATGAGGTAAGCATGAATTTTGATTTCAATCAATATTTTGTGTGACTGCCATCTTCTATTTTTGTTTTTTACTGCTGCCATCTTCTTGATAGGTGAACATTAAAATTGAGAACTATTTATTTACATAGTGTAGAATATATTTTAATTTTTTTCCTTTTTTATTGAAAATAGATTTTAATATAATATATTCTGATTATGATTTCCTCTTTCTCAACTCTTCCCAGGTCCAACAGTGGGTCCACACCCACCCAAACCCAAACCCTTAAGAACAGAATATTTTAAGCTGTATAATATGTAATTAATGTGATAAAGTGTGACACAATTTACATATGATTTATAAAGTTACAAATAGGACTATGTCAAAAGTTCTATCTATTTATGAACAAATCTGAATATCATGCACAAATAATATTTTTATTCAAACTTCCTCTTTTTAAATAAAACTTGTATTAATAATCATTCATCATTCAATTTAAGACTTCTTTCCAGAGAAATACTATCATATGAAACATGAAAATATTTGCATTTTAAGTTAATTAAGGCAAGATTTGATTCATAGAAGTAGCACAGTTTTAGAACACTATTTTAAATTTTCATGTTCTTAGAAAGACACTAATTATGTCTTCCTGTCTCCCAGAGTCGTATTGATGTGTATGTGGGACATGCTCCTGAAGGAACTTCAGTTCAAACCCTGCTTCATTACACTCAGGTAAAATTTGTCCATGCTTTCTTCCTTTTCCTGTTTAAAATCTCCTCTGATAACACACGACAATTCTATCTGTTTTAGTAATCAGTATATTGCATTTGTTTTCAAATAATAATAAAATTTTAATATTTTAAGTTGTAATATTTCTATAAAAATTAGAAATTCAGTACAAATATATTTTATGTAAAATGAACACCAGTTTTGTCAGGCTTCAGGGGCTGGTGGGAGATAAGAACGTCAAGTGCCCACAGGAACAGACATCAAACTAAAAAGTTTTCCTCCCAGTTAGTAATAAAATGTCTCCTGTTAGGCAACAAAGACATTCAAATGGATCCCTATAAAGCATGTCCACTAATTAATTTTTTTATTTTGAAATATTTTAATTTTTAATTTTATGAGGAAGAGGTATTTTGGGGGGTTGCTTATACTCACTGGAATGAATTTTTTGGTTCCACTGACATATAAACTGACATATAATTTTTAGAGTAACATGTCACATTCTGATAGCTGGCTCATTCAATAACATTTGACTGAGGAAATCTGTTTATCATCTCTCTATATATCAGAATTTGAACTTTGTGAGGAAAATCTATGTGCTCATGTTTAAATATTAGACTGCTATGAAAACCTTAGTCCTTATTATTATATATTTTTTACAAATCCAAACAATTTTTTTTATCAACACAAATCTGTGATATTTTTTGGCAAAAGTGTTGGGAGTCATTGGAAACATTTTATACAAATTAAATTATACATAAATGATGAGTATTTAAATTTTATACCAATTTTGAATGCAAATATCATTTTAAAGTATGTATTGATGTAAACTAAATATTATGAAAACAAAAGTTTTTATAAAGCCAGGAAATTAATATTATATGTGTTTTAATTTGGGTTCAAATAATTTTAGACATTTGGTTATTTTCATAGAGTTATGTTTTCATGCACATATGTGTGTTTATAGCTGTGTGTCTGCTGGTACATGTGAGTATGCAAGTCCTTTTCACATGGGTTTACCTGCATTTGTAGCTAGAGGAAAACCTTGTGTTTTGTTTTTAAACATTGGTCACCTTTTATCTGAGACACTGTGTTACAAGACATTTGATTCCACTGTAAATATATGTCACTGTGATTGATTTAATAAAAAGCTAAATGGCCAATAACTAGGCAGGAGATATAGGCAGAACTTCTGGAAAGAAGGAAGAGGAATTCACCAGCTGGATGCAGAGAAAGTAGGCCATGCAGGAGGAGAGGTAAAAGCCATGAGCCACATGGCAGAATGTTGATTAATAGAAATGGGTTAGTTTAAGTTATAAGAGCTAGTAAGAAACAAGCCTAAGCTAAGGCTGAGCTGGATAATAAGAAGTCTCTGTGTTGTTATTTGGGAGCTGGCTGGTGGTACAGAGAAAGATGTAATTCATCACTGTCTCTCATTTGTACAGAACTTGCCTAGTAACCCAGTATGATTGGCCAAAGGAACCCAGTGTTCTATCTATTACAAATGCACACCATGATACCCTACTTTACAAACTCAGGATTAAGGGCTAAATTCAGACCCTGGTGTTTGCAAGACAAGTATTTTACTGATTGAGATATCTCCCCATCCCTAAATAGTTCCTTATTAATAATTATTTACCAGTTGAATTTTACTTTATCTCACTAAAAGTAAATTTAATGAAATTTCATATTATAATGAATTTACTTTTAAAAAGTAACTCAAAAATAGTCTTCTCTTTTTAAATTATAATAACTAGATTTTTTTTCAGGGTTATACTACATATAACATTGAGCTAAAACAACTTAGGTATTATTAAAACATATATGAAATATACTTTATTCACTAGTTTTTCTCAATCTTTTTTCTGTATTTGTCTGATATGAAATATCTGCATATATGCTTTAGTCTCCATTAATCCAGGATCACATGGTGTGGCTATAGAGTTCTACTGTACATTTATATGGCCCCATTGAATCTGAATCAATGGTCATACAGAAAAAAGGAATTAATAAAGCTCCACTATCCCCAGTTCTTTTTCTTTTGAAAGGCTTTGTAATGGTATGTTTTATCATTCAGGGAATGAGAACAGGCATATTCCAAGCTTATGACTGGGAAAGTCCATTTCTGAATATGCTGCACTATGGTCAGGTGAGATTCCTTTTACAACGTGTAATCACTCCTCCCTTTGGAAAATGTATGAAAGAATTAGATAAATGGGGTAGGTTTACACTTCCCAGGACTTTGGTGGAGATAGACAATAGAATGGCTTCAAAATTAGGAAACACTTCTTTATATAATATTAATGAAATATTATACAGTAACTATTTCCAAATATCTTGTCATTTGAACTTCACATTTTTTTTTAAATATTAGTCATTACTGATACCATAATTTTACATGTAAAGAACCTAAGATTCAGAAAACTTCTGTTTTGAAAATCATTCAGTTTTTTTTTTTTTGATTTAAGGGTTTGTCATTGGCATATTCCTATCTGAGAAGGCTGAGATTTCACAACTTACTCTGTAGTCATAAATTAATAATTACCACTTTCATTTAATAAAAAAGAATCAACTTGCTATCCATAAAGTGATATGCCATTAATTTGAACATTACTGTTTTTCACTTCCTTTAGCCTACACCCCCACAATATAAGATAAAGGACATGAAGGTTCCAACTGCTATGTGGAGTGGTGGAGAAGATTTTCTGGCCGATCCAATAGACGTTGGACAATTAGTAGCCGACCTCTCCAATCTCATTTATCATAAGAAGATTCCTGAGTATAGTCACATGGATTTTGTGATAGGTTTAGATGCTCCCAACAAAGTTTTCAATGAAATTGTTGCATTCATCAATGAAGATCAATCAAGTTGAAGTTTATTTAGCTCTCTATGTATTTTTCTGCTTCTTTTGAGGATCTGTTGATTTTCACAATGTGAAAGATTCCTGATTTTCTCTTTAATCAGCTTTAATTAGTACATCATTAAATCACTTTGCTAAATTATGTGCATTTGTCCTGAAAATAAGAGCACTAATAAAATGCTTATTTCATCTTATGAAAGCTTTCTGTTTCATGGATGCTTTTACATCACTAAGAAGAAGATTGTTTTGTTTATTTCAAAATAATATTTATTTAATTCTATGTCTCTCTGTGTGCCTGAGTATATGTGTGTGTACCACCAGGGACCAGGAGCCCAGAGGTCAGAAGAGACATGAATCCCTTGGAACAGGAGTCATGGATGGTTGTGAGCCACCATGTAGTTCCCAGGAACTGAATATGTACAAGATATGTGTAGGCTATGGTTTTCTGAATAAGATGTAATAAATTATGAAATAATAGCAGGAACTTACATGTGGAATTTCATAAGATTTTCTTAAATTCTTCATAGAAAATAGAACAACTTTTATAATCAAAAGACAATCTATAGAGTAGTAAGAAAACTCTGACAGCTATTCGTGTGACAAGGGATTAATATCCAATACATATCAAGATTTCAAAATTAAGCACAAAAGAAGGTAACAACTCAGTCAATATGTAAGAAATGTACTGAACATGTAATTTTTAAATGAACAAATAAATGATCATTGCTTACATGAAAACTATTCATGCCCTTCACTATGAGATAAATGAAAATCAGAACTTCAATCAAGATTCCATCTTATCCCTTTAGAACAGCTATCATTAAGAATAAAAAGAAAACAAATAAAAAAATTAAGGTAAGGCTGCATTATACACTGTTTATGGAAATACAAATTAACCCAACCACTATTGAAATGAGTATGGAAGTCCCTCTAAAAATAAAATCAGAACTATCAGATTACATAGTCATTTCACTTCTAAGGATATATTGGAAAGGATTAAATAAAATGGAGAAATCTGAATACCCATATTTGCCATGCCACTATTTAGAATTGTCATGAAATATAATCAGCCTCAGTACCAAATTAATCAACAAAATGTCTTTATTGTGCATGTGTGCATATGTGTTTGTATGTAGATACACATAAATAAATGCCATCATTCAGTCACAAAGAATAAAATTACATCATTAACAAGAACATGGATGGAACTGGAGATCATCATGTTCAATGAATGATCCATATTAAGAGAGAAAAACTTTCATATGATTTTTGTCTAATTTAGAAAAAAGAAAAAGCACATGGTAGTAAAATTGGTGATGGAGAAGAGTGTAATACAAAAGGACCAGGGAGATAAAGGAGGATCAAAGGAAGATGAACATTATCAAAACATGTTATATCCTTCTATAAAATGTAAATATATCATTGTTTTTCACTGCTGAGTAGTATTCCATTGTGTATATGTACCACGTTTTATTTATCCATTCTTCAGTTGAAGGGTATCTAGGTTGTTTCCAGGTTCTGGCTATTACAAACAATGCTGCTATGAATATAGCTGAGCAAGTGCCCTTGTG